CAGGGCTTTTCCTAAGAACCGCGAGAATATGACCGGGGGTGTAATATATGGAGGGGGGCGCCGAACACGGATAACAAATGCTTTTTGTGTGTTCTAGCGGTGCCCCCCCCCATATATATATAGGTTGGAGGGGAGGAGAGGCAGCCAAGGGGGCGCCCCAAGTAGGAGGAATCCTACTTGGGGTCCTCCCCAATTTGGCCTCCCCCCTTACCATATTTTCCGGAGGGGGAGGAGGAGGGAGGAGGGAAGGAAGGAAGGGGGAGGCCGAATCCCTCCCCTTCCTTATCTCTTCCCCTCTTTTCCTTCCTCCTCTGGTTCGGCCCATATGGGGGGCGCAGCAGCCCCTGCTGGCTGCTGCGTTTCCCCTCTTGGCCCATTAGGCCCATATCTTTGTCGGGCGTGGCCGGAACCCCTTCCGGTGACCCGATATGTACCCGATACCCTCCGGAGCACTTTCGTTGTCCGAATACTATCGTTCTATATATCAATCTTTACCTCTCGACCATTTAAAGACTCCTGGTCATGTCTGTGATCTCATCCGGGACTCCGAACAACATTCGGTCACCAAATCACATAACTCATATAATACAAAATCATCATCGAACGTTAAGCGTGCGGACCCTACGGGTTCGAGAACTATGTAGACATGACTGAGACACCTCTCCGGTCAATAACCAATAGTAGAACCTGGATGCTCATATTGGCTCCTACATATTCTACGAAGATCTTTATTGGTCGAACCGTTATGACAACATATGTTATTCCTTTTGTCATCGGTATGTTACTTGCCCGAGATTCGATCGTCGTTATCTTCATACCTAGTTCAATCTCGTTACCGGCAAGTCTATTTACTCATTCCATAATACATCATCCCGCAACTAACTCATTAGTCGCTTTTCTTGCAAGGCTTCTTATGATATGCATTATCGAGAGGGCCTAGAGATACCTCTCCGATACTTGGAGTGACAAATCCTAATCTCGATCTATGCCAACCCAACAAACACCTTCGGAGATACCTGTAGAGCATCTTTATAATCACCCAGTTACGTTGTGACGTTTGATAGCACACAAGGTATTCCTTCGGTGTCCGGGAGTTGCATAATCTCATAGTCAAAGGAATATGTATATGACATGAAGAAAGCAATAGCAATAAAACTGAACGATCAATATGCTAAGCTAACGGATGGGTCTTGTCCATCACATCATTCTCCTAATGATGTGATCTCGTTCATCAAATGACAACACATGTCTATGGTTAGGAAACTTAACCATCTTTGGTTAACGAGCTAGTCTAGTAGAGGCTTACTAGGGACACAGTGTTTTGTCTATGTATCCACACATGTATCAAGTTTCTGGTTAATACAATTCTAGCATGAATAATAAACATTTATCATGATATAAGGAAATATAAAATAACAACTTTATTATTGCCTCTAGGGCATATTTCCTTCACAGACATGCTCCAAACAATGATGAATGAAGCCATGGAAAACTCACTGGTAACCTCTCCATTACTGCACAATTCATGCCCTGACTACCCAATCATCTAGTATGCAGATGATACTATCCTAGTGGCCAATGCACATGCTCAACAACTCACCCACATCAAAAATTTGTTGCTCCATTTTGCTGCTTACATAGGGCTCAAAGTGAATTATTCTAAATCCACCATGATCTCAATCAACACTCCTTCCTCAAAAATGAATGAGTTATCTGCATTACTGGGTTGCAAGATTGGTGCTTTGCCACACACATACCTTGGTCTTCCTCTCAGTACATCCAAACCCAATGTAGTAGATTATGTGCCCATGATGAAGAGGATTGAAAACAGATTACTCAATTGTTCAACACTCCTATCCTCCAGTGATAAGCTCACTTTGATAGAATCGGTCTTCACCAGCATGCCCACTTTTTTCATGTGCACTTTATCTCTGCCCAAAACTGTGGTGAAACAAATCAACATATATCTCAAGCATAGTTTTTGGAGAAAATATGAGTCTATTCATCAGGGTTCTGCATTGATTTCTTGGAAGAAAGTCTGCAAACCTAAGGAAGATGGAGGTCCATGTGTATTGGACATTACTACTCACAACCAAGCCTTACTCATGAAATTTCTCCACAAATTCCTCAATAAAGAAGACATTCCATGGGTCAACATCATCTGGGAGAAATACTACCAAACTACATTGCCTGGTGACAGAAATGTGGGATCTTTCTGGTGGAAATCTGTTACCAAATTGCTTCCTATCTTCAAACATCATGCTATATGCAAGGCAGGATTAGGTGATACAACTCTGTTCTGGACTGGTAACTGGACTGGTAAACCATTATCACTTACATTCCCAGAGCTACACTCCTTTGCCATTAATGGGGTCATCTCTCTGTCCAAGATTATTGAACAGCCAGACACAAGTCAGCATTTTCATAGGCCACTAACACTCCAAGCTTATCAGCAATTCAATACACTTCAAGAACTGCTTGGTAGCAGAATGGTAAGTAATAAGCAGGACAAGTGGCACTATTCCTGGAGCAGTAACACTTACTCACCCATGAAGATGTACAGAGCTCTCAAGAAGACAGACATACCACACAACATTTTCAAACTCCTCTGGAGCACATCATGCAGACTTAGACACAAGATCTTCTTCCGGATGCTATACCATGACAGATTAAACACCAGAAACCTACTGCACCGCAAGAATATGTACTTGGAGGATTACAATTGTGTGCTCTGTACAGATAAGACTGAAGAAACATCACTCCACCTTTTCTGGGATTGCCCATTTGCCATCTGATGCTGGAATTATCTCATGCAAGATAAACATAGAGGTATATCAACTCATGATGAGATCACATTATCACTGCTCCTACTTCCATCAGAATTAGCCCTTGATATCATCATCATGAGTTGTTGGAGTATATGGTCAGTCAGAAACGATACGATTTTCATATCAGCAGCCCCACACTTCAGTACATGGAAGTTTTATCTCAAGGAAGGATTATGGGCATCAAAATTAAGAGCAAAACCAAATAAAGCTGACAAGATTAGGAATTGGGTAGCACAGTTTTTGGACCCGGATTAAACCTTTTTCTTATGTTTCCTAAAACCGACATGGGTTAACCGTAAAAAAGATCTGTACTTTTTTATATTATTTAATGAAAATACCATAGAACAATCTGGCTAAAAAAAGATATAATCAGAATGGCTATGAAAATACCATGGTAGGTGGGTATGGTGACTATTTTGAGCAGATGTGGAGTTTATGTGTAGAAGAACAAGATAAACTCTACCCATGGGTTTAGATGTACCAGCAAAGTATGTGTCTCAATGCGAGAGTTGGCAATATCCGACCGAAGAGACTAGCATAAAGATGAAAAGGAAGTGCAAAAGATTCTGACTCGCTTTAGTCATAAAAGAGTCAAACACTACACAATAGTGTCATGGCACAAAAAAAGCTACTAGTAAGGGCATGTACAGTGGAAGCAGCACCATGGTGCTGCCCCAGCCCATCCACATCAGTGCATGGGACTGAGACCACGGTTCAGCTATACATGTATCCAACGCGTGTGTGGCCACATGACGTGAGCCGTTGCCCCTTTTCCATTCTTTACATTTTTCTATCTCTTCCTCTTGTCCTATCTCTCTCTTTCCTTTTTCTTCTCTCTCCCGCTTTTTCATGGAGAGGCTGCCTCCTGCAGAGGAGTCTCTGACACCTGCGGAGCACCGGTTTGAATCGCCACGGTGGTGTCCGAGCCTACCTGGCGTGTGGAGCATCAGGCTAGGGCGACCCATTGGCCATGCCCTAAGTAGCCGGAGGGGTAGTTTGGCGGGGTTACCCGTTGCGCACCGCAAACCACGAGGTGACGCGTGTTTGGTTTGTGACTCTAAAAAAACCTTCCTCCACTCCTTACAAGGAATAGAAGGTTGGCAAGAAAGCGAACGGACATATACTACAAGGCAGCAAAGACGCATCAGAACAGGCACACGATTTAGTGTTCGGCCGCATCTATGATCAATGCTTCCCGAAACGTCGTCCATCCACTCCCACTGGGAGATTTCACGATGCTCTCTCCAACCATCTGTCGAATCTTCATTCGTCCACTCAACAGACTGGACACAGGAAGCTAATTCTCTCGGCGGAACAGCTGGGAGCTAGATTTATTCGATTCCACTCTTTCTCCAGATCAGATGCGCACAGCTGTAAGTAGCGATCAAGCTTAGCCTCACGACGTCCTAGTTCATGCGCTGCACGGCTCTATCAAATAACGGATCAAGATAACAGAGGGAGAGTGGACACTGCTCTGGATCAAGAAACTTAAACATGCCTAGACACCTGCAAGTAGACAGACAATGGGTGTCCGGATAATGGCAATTAAATACTAAGTACAACAACTCACAAACAATTGATGTCTGCAAGAAAAAAAAACAATTGATGTTCTATAATCAGAGAAAAGACAAAGACGACATGGAACACAGCATAGCACCAGCATATATGAGCATGACTGGTGTAACAATCAACGTCTGGCCGACCTCTATAATCGTGGATGCCACACCTCTATAGCACAAGCACATACTGTATTTGTTTAGGTAAAAAAAGGTAAGGCAGAATAAATTGCTCTGAGAATAATAATAAAAAGAACCCCTGTCAATCACCAGGATTCGGAAATGAGCATATGACATGAAGGCGAAAAAAAGGGGAACAAAGGTCGCGCACATCACTCTATCTTTCTCATACAGTATTATATGTTGGGTCAATAACACATAGCAGTGGTGGTACAATAACAACATGCAAATAAGCATAGAGTCATTACAACACTGAAGAAGAGGAAGAAGTAAAAAAAACAAGGCAAGACAGAAATATCTAATATGGAACAATTCTCTGACTTCTAATGCATAACTTGCGAGACAGCAAGAGCACAAACTCATGAAAATATGCTGAATGAATAAATTAGGCAGGCCCCAACGGTGACTGACTGAAAAGCAGACCCAGATTTTTACCTCACCGCCCCTTGGGGTTCATGATCTGTGAGAACACCGCGCTCGGCGTCAGCCCATCCGAATCGATGCTCGCGACACTTTGGTCACCCATGCTTAGGGAAGTTGTTGTGGTCGTAGTGGTGCTGGAATCAATTGATGGGTCATTGGGATCCTTCTTTCCAACCATCACGAGGGGAGTGCCCTCATCTGACATCCCGCACCCAATGCTTCCACTCTCCTCCGCGCTTTCCTGCATCTGAAGAGCAAACTCCAAGTTCCAAAGCACATCTCCCATCGAAGGGCGCTCGATGCCATTGTCGGCAACACACTTCTCAGCCGTCTCGGCAAACTTCTTGAAGCACTGCGGAACAATCTTTCCCTTCAGGTAGGGATCAACAATCTGATCAAGAATTCCCTTCTTTTGGCAGTGCAGTGCCCACTCTGCCAAGCTAACTTCTTCCTTTGCAAGAGTGGGGTTCAAGGCAGGCCGAGCACAAAGGACCTCGAACAGCACCACGCCAAACGAATACACATCAGATTTCTCAGTGAGCTGCTGCCTGCGGAAATATTCAGGATCTAGATAACCAAAACTGCCCTTGACAACTGTGCTCACATGTGTGTGATCCATCGATGGCCCAGTCTTGGACAGACCAAAATCTGAAACCTTGGCAACCCATTTCTCATCCAGGAGGATGTTTGTCGTCTTCACATCACGGTGGATAATGGTGTGCTTTGCACCGGTGTGAAGGTAGTGAAGCCCACGAGCTGCACCGATGCAGATCTCCAAACGCTGCCTCCAGCTAAGCGGTGCATTCTGGGTCTTGTATAGGTGCTCACGCAGAGTTCCATGAGCCATGTAGTCATAGACCAGGATCATCTCGTTCTTCTCCTCGCAGTAACCAATCAGCGACACAAGATGACGGTGCCGGAGCTTTGACAACATTTCAATTTCAGTCTGGAACTCATGTATGCCCTGCTCAGACAAGGGATTGCCACGCTTGATAGCCACCTTAGTTGTGCCCCCGTCAATCTCTCCATGGTAGACTTTACCGAACCCACCAACGCCAAGGATCCGTGACTCATCAAAGTTTTTGGTTGCGGCCTTGATCTCTGCAAAGGAGAAATGGCGGCACAGGTTGGACGGCAAAGATGAAGCATAACTCCCTGTAGCATGCGACTTGGCTGAGCTTGAAGTGTGTGAATGGCCATACAGCGACAATGGCAGCCAACCAGAATGGCCGTCACTCATGCCGCTAGCCTTGGCCGCTTTCCTCCGACGCTTGCAGATGAAGCAGCAATATCCAAGCGCAAGCACTGCCAAACCTCCAATTACTCCACCAACAATAGGCGCGACTTTAGATTTCTTGTCTCCTGACCCGCTATGCGCTGGTGGATCAGCACTTGGGACAGGATTGAGCCCCACGAGGCTCCCATTAGTAAGTTGCAGCTTGAACACCTCCATCCCATTGAGAATAGCATCATAGTACTGTGGCTTCGTCTCTGCATCTGGGTGTAGAGCCACCCAGAAATCCAAAATCCCAGAACCCACAGTGCTCACCACATAGTCCTTGTACACTGGGGTACCAATACCATTGGGATCCGCCCACTGGATCACATCAGCACCTTCAATGGCAGTCTGGTTGTTGAGGTAGATGTTGAACACCCGCTGATTGGGTTTAGTAAATGGGGATTGTATCTCACAGAAATGGAGCCTCACAAGGTATTGGTACCCAGCATCCACCTGCAATATCCAGGTGAGATTGTAGGCCATGTTTACACCCTTGTCTGGCCCCATTGATCGCGCGGTGGCGTAGACATCCGAAGGTGCCACATATCCCGGCACATTGTCAGGGTAGATGATTGTGACATTGGGATCGTTCTGGTACGATACCCCAGCCCCTGCACCATAGATGTAAGGCGTGTCGTCGTCCCATGACCGAGCCCCGCCGGAGTCCTTGGAAGGGGAGATGGCCTGGCCTCCGACGTTGAGCCGATACATGGTCTGCAGAGCAGCAGCAGGATCCATCTCGTATGGCTGGCTGTTGCCATCACCGGTGACGAATTGCGGCGTGGCGATGCCAAAGAGGTCAGGGGAGGAGACGACCTCGATGCCGTTGATGAAGGCGTAGGCGTTGGGGTGGCCCTTCTCCGGGGTGAAGGTGAGGTCGAGGTTCTGGCCGGTGACGTTGACGGAGAACTCGCGCACGATGTAGGCGAAGTTGAGCGCCGTGGTGGTCTGGTAGGCGCTGAAGTTGGAGAGGAGCGTGACCTTGGCGGCCGGGACGGAGACGGAGAAGAAGGCGTCGGCGGCGTCGCGGTTGGAGTAGTTGGCCGGGTAGAAGTGCAGCCTGAGGAACTTGCGGCCGGGGCCGAGCGGGAAGGAGTAGGTGAAGGGCGCCGCCGAGACCCGCGCGGTGAGGTAGGGCACCTGCGGCACGGAGGGGTCCTGCGCCCCGGCGCTGGCCGAGGCGAGGTTGGGCGGCGCGTACTTGGACCCGGCGTCGCCGTCCCACTGGCGGCCGTCCGTGTCGTTCCCCTTCCCCGTGGCGCCGCAGTCGAGCAGGATGTCGTCCCGCGGCACGAACGGGGCCCCCGCCGAGGGCGCGGGCGCGGTCGCCCCCTGCGCCCGCGCCGCGGGGACAAGCGCCGCGGCGGCCACGAGGAGCAGGAGCGCGCATCTCGGGCCTCCTCTCATGGTGCGAGCTGTAGTAGCCTGCGTTTCGTCGCGGCTCACAGATCGCCCATCAAACGGCTCTCCCGGCACCGATCTGGGGGCGGATTTGCGTGCTGGTGAGAGAAGTGCGTGGCGGAGGAGGTGAGATTTGAGGGGAAAGTGGTGGCCGAGGTGGTGGAGGGCCAGGGGTGGCGTCAAGGAGGAAGAAGGGAAGGGGAGAGAGGTTTCGGGACTACGGGCGCCGCATTAAGTGGGCTGCCAGCAACGGCAACGGTGACCTACTCCGCTCAGCTCTAGGACTACTGCTGCCGCGCTTGCTCTGCTTCTTTTCACCGCCGCGGTAGCGTGCGTGTGTCACTCTCGTCTCGTGGCCTGATGTGTGTTCCGCTGGCCAGTGGGGGCGCCGAGACGACGGGCCCCGCGGAACAGTGGAACTGTACGGGTGCTGCGCGCGCGGTGTGGTGACGGTGGAGGACAGCTGCCTCAGTTGCGCGTCCCCTTTTCCCCGGGCTTTTTTTAAACAGCTTCTTCGGTACCGTCAAAATAAAAAAAGGTTTTTCGGTGGTGGGAACCGCGGCCATGTGCAGGGGAAGACGTGGGGACCGCTCGTCATGGACTGTTGACAGCGGTGCTGGTACCTAAGACGACGCGGGATTGCATGGGGTGAGGTCGGGTCAGCTAGTACTCTCTCCATTCTAAAATATATTGCGTCCATGCTTTCCGAGATTCAACTTTGACCGTAAATTTAACCAACGAGACCAATTGCGACGGGAGAAAAAATTATATAATTGAAAACTTATTTCGAATACGAATTCACTGATATAATTTTTGCTCCCGTCGCAATCGGTCTTGGTAGTTAAATTTACGGTCAAAATTGAAGCACGTGGATAGAGGAAGCACTACATTGTCGAATGGAGGGAGTATAATATGGACAGCCGTCAGCCGATAGATTCGTGTTGTTAGCACCAGAACAGGGTCTCGTCAGAGACCGCGGCCGCTGCTGCCAAATGCAAGCTGTGAGCCAGCCAACCCGGAATAAGCCATGGGATAGAGGGCCCACCAATGCCGGGTCGGCGCAATCGGTATTCGGTGTCGTTCGACAGCCGAGAGGCCGACGCGGCGAGAGAGGAGGCCGGACGGGGATCCTCTACCGTTCGGCAGGGTGCCGTTCCATCACCGACAGGTGAGCACATCAGGAAACAGGCCCATATGGCAGTGCCACAACGGCAGGTGCCATACGTCAGGGGAGCCGCTTCCGAGGAAGCCGCGCGTGGGCCCCGGTAACATCCAGTGGGATCAGGGAATTTTTTTTAAGTATACTTGTATTCAAATCACGAAATAAGCCTTTAAAAAATTACAAAATAATACAAAGTCTTTGTCCCATACCAGCACTTAACACATACACAAAGAACCAGGAAAAACAAAGAGCACCTTAAAACAACCGGTAAAACATGAATATCTTCAAAGCTCTGTATCATCATTCCTTAATCTTATGAAAAGACTTCTGCAACATAAGAATCTGCAATTAGCCCCGAACAGGTCATCATCTTCAATCATGACATAATCCGCCACACTGTTCCCTCTTTTCTTCGTTTCAGCACCAAAAACCAAAAAGACAAGGGGGTTGTTTCGTTCATTCCCTCACTTGCCTGCCAAAACGTGGGCGCAGTTAGCTTGCCAAAAAATAGACAGACAATTTCGGCACCCGCGTTTTCGACAGCAATTTGGCGCAAAACAAGCTGGAGGGGGCGAGACGGGTTGGCGTGCCAATATTTTGGAGTCGATCCAAACGCCCCCTCAAAGCCTGGTCAACGACCCATATTTTGACAGGGCAGCTAAGGCACCAAACCAAACAGCCTCAAGGACACACATGTGCGTCCAACACGCCTGCACCAGCCTTCGTCATCTATGGACTTGAGTACCGCTACATACGCCTCTTCTAGATAGAAGAGAAGTAGGATCCGATTCCGACGCCGTGGCCGGGCCAACCGCCCGGCCAAGGTAGTACATCCCTCCAGTAGCGGCACAAAGAAATAGGGAGAAAACAGCAGAAAATCATACCAATGAGGAGGAAAAAGAATCTCCATCTTCACACAACCACCTTTCATCCGAGGATCCAACCGGCCAATGCCGACCGACCTCCAGACACCATAGCCCACGACCTCGACGAGATCCGGGGATCCCCCACCCCGCTGGCTCCTAGAGGAAGGCAAGAGTTCCATCTGACTGCGAACAGAGCCCGAGAAAACTTATTCAGACATGGCGCTGCAGCAATGGTCTTGGTAACGTCTCCCACACCCCTAACCCTATTGTAAACCAACCCCACGCATAGATCCGAGGTTTCCCCTCCCTCCTGTCGCCGGAGCGGCCGACGGAGGGAGAGGGAACCAGTGGCGGCGCTGGCGGCTCGCAAAGTGAAGCCACGTGTCGCCTCCTTCCGCCTGTGTATGAGATCCCCTTTTTTCGGGGCAAGCGGTCTAGCGGGATCAGGGATTGTGAGGCACGCACCTTATCTTTTTTTTAATACGATATAGAATCTGAAACGATATACACATGCACATTCTATCTTTATGAGTATCTCCGAGAGACTGAACCGGCGCATCATCTTAAGATTGACGAAGTCGCCGCCGACGTCTCCATAATCAATAGGAACATCCCCTCCCATTGAATGCACATCATCGAAATGCTCAAGATGAATTTTGAAAAATGCAACCATTTAAGACTTCTAATGGGATGACTTCACCATAAAAAATCTAACCATCTGAGCTACACTCAATTCGTGCGCACCTCTTCTCGTTCTCACCAGCGACTTGGCGAGTTGTGTGAACTTATGGCTCTCAAGCGCCAACGCATTGTATATGTGCAAGATTAAATATACTGTGTTTCATATAAAAGTTTTGTCAAGGAATGATTGTTGTTGACTTCAGGAAAAAAACATTGAGGACAAAATAGCGTGAACAATACTTGTATATAGCGTTTTGAACTTTTTATCATCCAGAATACTATAAAAGTTATTCCTTGACGAATCTTTTTATACGAATGTCCAACTTGATCATATTTAATTTTAAATTATTTTTTTGTAATTACTAAATTATGTTGTGCTATAGGTTGCGCTGACATCCGGGTGCACCATGGTATTTTTCCATTACAACACCGAATTAACCAAGCATAGCGTTCATTACAACACCGAATTAACCTAGGACTGCATCGGCGACTTGGCGTGCTATCCTTCATGGCCGAGAGCTGTTGAAACAAGGGGTACAGTGGGGTGTTGGTAATGGAAGAAGCATCCATATTATGTCTGATCATTGGATACCGTCTACTCCGCCGACAATGCTGCACACTATTTCACCCATTCCGGCGATGGCCCATGGTCCATTGTCTTGTTGATGAAGAGAACGGATGCTGGGATGAAGGAACAATGAGGGCTTTCTTCTCTGAAAGACTGGCTGATGAGATCCTGCATATTCCAGTTCACGAGATAGGGAGTCCAGATTATGCCCGATGGCCATTCACTCGATATGGGGTGTATTCTGTCCGGTCTGCTTACAACCTGGCAAGAACAAGACGTTTCTCAATGGCTCGCAGTGGCAACGGTCTGGGCCAGAGCTCGAATTGGCCAGAGGAGGAAAAGTTATGGAAAGCACTGTGGAAAGTCAAGGCTCCCAATAAAATGAAAATTGTGCTATGGCGTTTGGCTCATGATTGTCTTCCCTCCGGCGAGCAGCTGCGCCATCGCCATGTCCTGACTTGGACTGATTGCTTCTTCTGTGGCGGGCCGGAGAGTGTGGAACACGCTCTACTATTCTGTCCTCACGCTTGTGCAGTTTGGGAGTCGGTCAAGGAGACTTTTGAGATCAAACTATGCCGGTCGTCCTTCGCATCACCTAAGCAGTGGCTATTCGATTATCTATCCCGATGCTTTGATCGGGAAGCAACAGTCATGACGGTGACAATTTGGCATATTTGGGAGGCTCGCAACACTGCGAGAAATGAACCGGAAGCCCCACACCCGAAGCGCACTGCTGCTAGGACCCAGGCCTATATTGAGTTGATCTTCCAACACTTGTACAAACATGTACCTGATCACAGGCGTGAGACCTCTTTGTTGAATCCTCTCTGGTCTCCACCGCCGGTTGGTAAGCTGGTTGTGTTCTCTGATGCTGCTATTTCTGAAGATCTGAATAAAGTTGGAGTGGGTGTTGTGATGCCTTGGCGCTTCGCCGCGCGGTCAAGTTTGCACGAGATGAAGGCTTTGCTGATCTGGTCTTCAAAACAGACTACCTCTCCGTGGTGCAACGGTTGGCTTCTTCGGCCAGGGACCGTTCTGCTGTTGGCTTCATTGTGAATGATATCAAGGTGGTGGCAAGTGATCTTCCTGATGCCTCTTTCTTGCATGTTCGTCGGCACTTCAATATCTTAGCTCATGTTTTAGCTAGATCAAGTTTAAACTCTTTTAGTCTTTATATTTTTCATTTTGCTCCGGAGTGTATCCGGGAGACTCTTTGTAAATTTGTTGCTTGATCAATAAAGGCCGATGTTCTCTAAAAAAATGGAGACGCCTCAGTAGGAGCGCATCACTCTATTTATCTTTTTAATGTGGTTCAAGATAATGTAAGTTGGCAATGTGGTCTCTAGGTTTGGGACGGGGTGCAAGTCCAACCAACTGCTTGGAAAGGACGAGGAGTTGGGCTGGCTATCCCCATCTGCACGTCTCCGAACAGTAACTTTCATTGCCGGAAACAAACGCACTGTATTTACAACAATGAACGATAGTTGGTGTGCTCGGGTTTGATTTTGCTGTGACATGTTCACACGTGTGCGCAACAACGGGATCGGACACGGCGCCCCGTCTGTGCGTACGCATGTCCATCTCTCGACATAAAAGCTAGTTCAGCTCAGAGCATATGAATGAGAAAGCATCAGGCAACAAGGAAATAGGAACCCATATGGACATCTAACATATAAAGCCTGCTAGAGTACCCGCAATTCCAGCGGCATTCGCGGCGCTTTGTGGCCGC